TTCCTACTGTAAATTTTATCATTTGTTTATACATAAATATTTTATGAATTTTGATATATAAATAAGCTGATGAGCATTTTCTTTTTTACTTTTCACAAGAAAAAATTATTTAATTTACGAAGTTATTTTAGTAATCCGCTTTCAAGATATGTTAAAGTTAAGCAGAGAATTACGATTTATCATCTATGTAAAAGACAGTTAGTTGATTTGCATTTGTCTTTACAATTTTACATCTGTGCTAAACTACTACTCAGACTGATGAGATTTCTTGTGTATTTATATTATGAAGATTGATAAAATGAAAACATTGTCTTTATCTAGATTTTTTTCATGAAATAAGTTTCATATTATCTATTTAATTTATCTAAAAATTTGTCATGGTATCTATCATCTGTTTATGTATTGTTTCTTTGACTTTGATTTATAATAATCAAATCATTCAATAAAGCCAAAGAAAGATTCTAGTCAGTTACTATCATCGTCTTCTACTTTATATTGATTTTCCTTTCATACATTTAAATATATGATTTATTTGTAATAATCAGTTCAAATATATATATGAGTGATAGAGTACAATTCAAACATAATATTATGTTCTAGCTGTATATCTTATTGTCATTGGTTCAACTGGAGTTGATCGAGTAAATTTTTTTCGTATAATTGTTTTGATGTTTGGTGTAAAACAATATCCAATTATTACAACCATTAACACAGATATATCAACACATATGTAGGCAATACGAAAATAATACTTTGGTGGACTTGTAAAAAAGGACATATAATTAAATATCATATATGGTATACCAATAACAATAAGAGTATTACTAAGAATAAAAGTACGTTTAACAAGTTTTAATTCTCGTCGAGCATGAAACAGAGTATTATTTGATATAGTACGAAGACTGATTTGATGAACATATCGAGTCAATTTAATATAAACAGCAACAATACCAAAATTAGGTATCATATAGATAATTGCTCCAACATAGATTACTGATACAGATAGACGAAGAGGTATTTGACAAATTTGATTGTCAATATTGTAACTTATTTGTCCAGTCACAAACACTGGGACCATATCGATAATACAGACAATCCAAATTATAATTACAAGATAAAATTGAAACTTAACTGTTCGCCATATAATTTTATTTGGATAGACTACAGATATATACTGATAAACGGCTGTTAATAAATATGAATAGTTCTGAAGACCATCTGTTATAAATGATAAGAAACCTAAGATGATACAGAATAAAGTATTATTTTCACTACTGTGTTGTAAATCATGTTGCAATGTGAATATTGTCATATTGAGTAAAACACAGCTGAAAAGAATTACAGCTATACATGAATTGCATACTAAAAGCAGTTGTACCGATGAATATGTTTTATGTTTTATAACGATAAATAAATATAAAAGACCGAATATAATAGATAATGAAACTGATATAATACCAACAATATCGAAGAGAAGAAACCATACTTCGGTCTGAATTAATGTTGAATCGTTTATGAAGTTTACCATTTCGATAGAATTTACAATTATTTATAATTGTAGATTAAAAATAGATAAATTTACCAAAAGTATTTCGAAACTTTCTATTATAATTCTATAAAAAAAAACTACAAGAATATTTTATATCATTCACAACATTAAAATTAAATATTATAATTGTGATGTCAGTTGCAAATAATTATTTATAGATTGTCAACAACAACATTTACTTATCTCACTATAATTAAAATCTTTTCAATTTACTATTTTCAGATAGTTCTTGTTATATTCAAAATATAATTTATGTAAAGTTTTTTCTGTTAATTTGCTGTAATAGTTCTTCCGTATGTTGCAGCTGTAAATCTTATTGTCATCGGTTCAACTGGAGTTGATCGAGTAAATTTCTTTCGTATAATCGTTTTGATGTTTGGTGTAAAACAATATCCAATTATTACAACTACTAATACAGATATATCAGCACATATATAAGCAATACGAAAATGATACTTTGGTGGTGGTGTAAAAAAGGACATTAAAACAAATATCATATATGGTAAGCCAAGGACAATAAGAGTATTACTAAGAATAAAAGTACGTTTAACAAGTTTTAATTCTCGTCGAGCATGAAATAGAGTATGATTTGATACAGTACGAAGACTGATTTGATGAACATATCGAGTCAATTTAATATAAAAACCAAGAATACCAGAATTCGGAATCATATAGATAATTACCGTTACATATACCATTGGTAGAGATAGACGAAGAGGTATTTGACAAATTTGATTGTCAATATTGTAAGCTATCTGTCCAGTCAATAACAATGGAAGGCTATACAAGATACAGACAACCCAAATTACAATTATTAGATAAAATTGAATTTTAACTGTTCGCCATATAATTTTATTTGGATAGACTACAGAGATATAC